AGCTAAGAGTATATGCACATGCTTTTTAAGTAGGCTCCATGCTGTGCACTAGAATGTGTTAACCTGCATCCACCTTTGACATTTTACACACCATCCTCACAGTGTTGGATAATGTGCAGAAGCACGTTAAGTGCCCTTGGGTTTTAATTTCAGCTGAATTACTCTTTAGCTGTATAATTTTTTCTAGTTACTTTATCTAGAAGCTTCAGTTTCCTTCTCTATAAAATGAGTAATAGTACTTTACGGGGTTGTTGTAAAGATTAAAAGCTAATAAATGCAAAGATTTAGTCCATGCATGACAGATTATAAAACGCTTAATACAAATGTAATTCTTCTTTTGATTTGTTTTCAGCTATTTAAAAATATAAAACCCATTCTTAGCTCACAGGATGACCAAACCAAAATGGGTGGCAGGCCCTGCTACAGTTTGCTGACCTCTGATATACAGAGATGAGGTCTTTTATCTGGTGGAGATGTAAATTAGAGCATCTTTTCTGGAAATGGGTTTTCTGGCAGTGTGTTTTAACAGTGTTTAGGTGACTTTCTTATTTGATCTCATTGATCTCTCTTTGGGGAATTTATTCTAGAGATCTGATCAAAGATGCACTAGTAGGTAACAGCTTTGCTTATGAAAACAAAAATCAGAAACAAAACAACCTTTGGTTTCCAAAGGGTAGTTTTTGTTGTGTTTTTTATTGTATTTAGAACCATCAGTAAAAATCATGTTTTTGAAAAATACTAAAACAAGAAGTGTTCCATATCTAAGTGAAAAAAACAAAGTATTATACCAGTGTTTTAAACAATATATGTAAAATACATATTTATCATTACATTTGTAAATATAAAGGGTGAAGGAAATAGATGAAATTATCATCAATATCTATGGGTGATTTTTATTTTATTTTTTTTTAAGATTTTATTTATTTATTTGACAGAGACATAGCGAGAGAGGGAACACAAGCAGGGGGAGTAGGAGAGGGAGAGGCAGGCCTCCCACGGAGCAGGGAGCCCGATGAGGGGCTCAATCCCAGGACCCTGGGATCATGACCTGAGCCGAAGGCAGACGCTTAACGACTGAGCCACCCAGGCGCCCCTATGGGTGATTTTTAAAATATTTTTATTTTTTAAATTTTATTTACAATCAATTAACATGTAGTGTATTATTAGTTTCAGAGGTAGAGTTTAGTGATTCATCAGTTGTATATAACACCCAGTGCTCATTATATCAAGTGTCGTCTTTAATGCCCATCACCCAGTAATCCCATCGCCTCCCAGCAACCCTCAGTTTGTTTCCTATAGTTCAGAATCTCTTATGGTTTGTCTCCCTTTCTGATTTTGTCTTATTTTATTTTTCCCTCCCTTCCCCTATGTTCATCTGTAAAATTCTGCATATGAGTGAAATTGCATGATAATTGTCTTTCTCTGACTGACTTATTTCACTTAGTAAAATACCCTCTAGTTCCCTCATGTCATTGCAGATGGCAAGATTTCATTCTTTTTGATGGCTGAGTAATATTCCTGTGTGTGTGTGTGTGTACATACACATCTTGATCCATTCATCTTGTTGATGGACATCTGGGGTCTTTCCATAGTTTGGCTCTTGTGGACATTGCTGCCATAAACATTGGGGTGTAGGTGCCCCTTCCAATCACTATGTTTGTATCCTTTGGGTAAATACCTAGTAGTGTAATTGCTGGGTCATAGGGTAATTCTGTTTTAACTTCTTGAGGAACCTTCATACTGTTTTCCAGAGTGACTGCACCAGTTTGCATTCCCACCAACAGTGTAAGAGGGTTCCCTTTTCTCTGCATCCTTGCCAACATCTGTTGTTTCCTGAGTTGTTAATTTCAGCCATTCTGACTGGTGTGAGGTGGTATCTCGTTGTGGTTTTGATTTGTGTTTCCCTGATGATGAGTGATGTTGAGCATTTTTTCATGTGTCTGTTGGCTATTTGTATGTCTTCTTTGGAGAAATGTCTGTTCGTGTATTCTGCCCATTTCTTGATTGGATTATTTGGTTTTTGGGTGTTGAGTTTGGTAAATTCGTTATAGATTTTGGATACTAGCCCTTTATCTGATAAGACATTTGCAAATATCTTCTCCCATTCTGTTGGTTGTCTTTTAGTTTTGTTGATTGTTTCCTATCTTGATGAAGTCCCAATAGTTCATTTTTGCTTTTGTTTCCTTTGTCTCTGGAGACCTCTCTAGTAAGAAGTTTCTGCACCTGAGGTCAGAGATGTTGCTGTCTGTGTTCTCCTTCAGGATTTTGATGGACTCCTATCTCACATTTAGGTCTTTCATCCATTTGTGTTTATTTTTGTGTATGATGTAAGAAAATGGTCCAGTTTCATTCTTCTGCATGTGGCTGTCCAGTTTTCCCAACACCATTTGTTGAAGAGACTGTTTTTTTCTTTTTTCTTTTTTTTTTTTTAAAGATTTTATTTATTTATTTGACAGAGAGAGACACAGTGAGAGAGGGAACACATGCAGGGGGAGTAGGAGAGGGAGAAGCAGGCTTCCCGCGGAGCAGGGAGCCCGATGTGGGGCTCGATCCCAGGACCCTGGGACCATGGCCTGAGCCAAAGGCAGACTCTTAATGACTGAGCCACCCAGGCGCCCAGAGACTGTTTTTTTCTATTGGATATTCTTTCCTGGTTTGTCAAAGATTAGTTGACCATAGAGTTAAGGGTACATTTCTGGGTTCTCTATTCTATTCCACCGTCTTGATGATTACAGCTTTGTAATACAGTGATGTCCGGAATTGTGATGCTCCAGCTTTGGTTTTCTTTTTCAACATTCCTCTGGCGATTCGGGGTCTTTTCTGTTTCCATACAAATTTTAGGATTGTTTGTTCCAGCTCTGTGAAAAATGTTGATGGTATTTTGATAGGGATTGCATTGAATGTGTAGATTGCTTTGGGTAGCATAGACATTTTAACAATATTTTTCTTCCAGTCCATGAGCATGGAATGTTTTTCCATTTCTCTGTGTCTTCCTCAATTTCTTTCATAAGTGTTTTTATGAAAGTTTTCAGAATACAGATCTTTTACCTCTTTGGTTCGGTTTATTCCTAGGTATCTGAATGGGTTTTGGTGTGATTGTAAGTGGGATCAGTTCCTTGCTTTCTCTTTCTTCTGTCTCACTGTTAGTGTATAAATGCAGCTGACTTCTGTGCATTGATTTTATATCCTGCCACTTTGCTGAATCGCTGTATGAGTTCTAGTAATTTTGGGGTGGAATTTTTTGGGTTTTCAACATAGAATATCATGTCATCTGAGAAGAGTGAAAACTTGATTTCTTCTTTGCTGATTTGGATGCCTTTTACTTCTTTTTGTTGTCTGATTGCTGTACTGTGTTGAACAACAGTGGGAGAGTGGACATCCCTGTTATGTTTTCAACCTTTGGGGTAAAGATTTCATTTTCCCCCGTTAAGGATGATATTCACTTTGGGTTTTTCGCATATGGCTTTTATGATATTTAGGTATGTTCCCTCTATCACCCATGGGTGATTTTTGTTTTTTCCTACATTTTATTGATTTTCAAAGATTACACATTGCTTATGTAATCAAAGAAAGACCTGAATCTTCAATTTATGAAAAGTAGATCAGTAATACTGTTTATTTATTTTCTTAAAAATTGAGGTATAATTGACATATACTATTAGTATTAGTTTCAGGTGTACAACATAATGATTCGATATTTTTTGCATTGCAAAATCATCACAATAAGTCTAATTAATATCTGTCACCTTACATAGTTACAAAATTTTTTTTCTTGTGATGAAAACTTTTAAGATCTGCTTTCTTGGCAACTTTTAAGTATGCAGTACAGTTATTATTAACTGTAGTCACCATGCTGCTCATTACATCCCCATGACTTATTTTATGATTGGAAGTGTGTAACTTTTGACCCCCTTCATCCATTTCTTCTACCCCAAACCCCTACCTCTGGCAACTTCTAGTCTTTTCTTTTTCTATGAGCTTGGGTTTTTGTTTTGTTTCCTTCCATACATAATTAAGATTATGCAGTATTTGTCTTTCTCTGTCTTGCTTATTTTACTTACTATAATGTCCTTGAGGTCCAAACATGTTGCCAGTGGCAAGATTGGATTCCTTTTTATGGCCAAATAATATTCCAGTGTGTGTGTGTGTGTGTGCGTGCGCGCGTGTGCGCGCGCGCGTGTTTTCTTCATTCATCTGTTGAAGATACTTGGGCTATTTCTACTTTTTGGCTATTGAAATGATAATGCAGTGAACATGGGTGTACATATATCTTTTTGAGTTAGTGTTTTTGTTTTCTTCAGATAAATACCCAGAAGTGGAATTGCTGGGTCATATGGTAGGTTTTTTTGTTTTAATTTTTTTAGGAACCTTTTTACTGTTTTTGCGTAGTGGCTACACCAGTTTACATTCTTACCAACAGTGCACAGGGGTTTTCTTTTTTTCCTAATCCTTTCTAATACCTGTTATTTCTTTTCCTTTTGATAATGACAGGATGAGGTGAGATCTCAGTGTGGTTTTTTGATTTGCATTTCCCTGATGATTAGTGATGTTTGAGCATCTTTTCATATATTTGTTGGCCATTTGTATGTCTTCTTTGGAAAAATGTCTATTCGCATCTGCCCATTTTTAGTCAGATTGTTTCTTTGTTACTGAGTTGTATGAGTTCTTTATATATTTTGGGTATTATTAACCCATTATCAGATAATGTGATTTGGAAATATTTTCCAATATAGTAGGTTGCTTTTTCATTTTGTTGGTGGTTTCCTTTGTATTAAAGAAGCTTTTTAGTTTGATATAGTTTCATTTGTTTATTTTTAGTTTTGTTGTGACACTTTTTTCTTAAATGCACTTGCTTCAGGAGATTAACATGCTTTATAATGATATTAATCTCCATTTCAAGTTCATTCGTATATTCTCAGGATTGTATGTTTCTGGAAAGTTAATCATTTAAATTATCAAATTTAATGTCCTTTATTTGCTTGTTTTTAATTCTGTAACAGGGTAAAATCCTTTACAAAGTTCGATGGAAAGGATACACATCAGATGATGATACCTGGGAGCCTGAGATTCATCTTGAGGACTGTAAAGAAGTTCTTCTCGAATTTAGGAAGAACGTTGTGGAGAACAAAGCTAAGCCGGTCAAGAAAGATATTCAGGTATCATGTTTTATTTCATATTTCTTTTTTTTAGTATAATAAACTTACTATAAATTTTACTGACATAAGGAATGTGCAGCAAAGAATTTACAAATAGGGGTGCCTAGGTGGCTTAGTCAGTTACGTGTCTGCCTTTGGCTCAGGTCATGATCCCAGGGTCCTGGGATCTAGCCCCACGTTGGCTCCCTGCTCACTGGGGAGCCTGTTTCTCCCTCTCCCTCTGCCTCTTTCCCTCTGCCCTCCAAGCTCATGCTCTCTCTCTCTTGCTCTCTCAAATAAAGTCTTTTAAAAAAATTACAAATAATAAAATATATAGTATTCTGTATATTGTAAATTTTGTATAGCCAATTGATTCTCACAGAATGCTAAAATTGATTTTGCCAAACTCTTCCTTTTGTAGTCAATCTATGATCACAGTTGACAAACAAGTATAGTTTGGACATGTTGATTAATACTTTTCTTTTAGTTAAGAGTAAGGTGAAAGTGCGGAGGTTAAAAACATGTCAAAACTTTATTTGTTCATCATGGTATGAGCATCTTGTTTTTGTGTGTCTTAGGAACATTTTTTTGTAGTATTCGTGTTGCTACTATAGATAATAATGATAATAATGATAATAGTAAACATAATTGTTTTAATCTGCATTATCAACATATTATGTCTGATTTTTCTGCTAATCGAAATAAGTCTTAGATCGTTTTATAAAGCTATAAATTTTAATCCATTAGAGATTATTCACAGATCTGATTACCCAGGTCTTTTGTTTTTCTCTTCTCTTCCCACTTTAGTTTTTAGCTACTTTATTGCTTTTTAGTAAACTCTTTCTGATGGTAAGGAAGGATTAAGAGATCAAAGGAGTGCACATAAATTGAACTTTTTTTTAAAAAAGATTTATTTATTTAGAAAGAGAGACTGCGAGCAGGGGGAGGGGCAGAAAGAGAGAAAGAGAGAGAATCCCAAGCAGTCTCCACACACACGATCAGTTAACACAGGGCTTAATCTCTCGGCCCTGAGATTGTGATCTGAGCTGAAGTCAAGAGTCTGATGCTTAACCAACTGAGCCACCCAGGTGCCCCAGATAAGTTAAACTTCTATCATCAGCAGTTTGGAAAAAAATTTCATGGTGGTCTAGAGTGGGATATTATTAAAACAGATGCAAAAACTTGGAGTAAGGGTTTTCTTCTTTCTATTATTTTATCCTTGGTCCTCTTATTCCACAAATAATTGAATTGGATTTATGTATAAATCTTGTAAAAATTTCCCGTTGTACTTTTCCATGTAAATTTTCTTTATAGCTTCTATTTATAAATTGAACCAACTCTTACTCAACTTTTTGCTTTTGCTTTTAGTTTTCTTTTTATTAGAAATTATTGTAATTTTTTAGAATACTCGCAGAGCTTCTGGGACTTAGAACTATATAGTGAAAATTTTTCACAAAAGAAGCCTCTGTTTTGAGGACTGAATGTTTATCTTCTTTCCCTATAATTTGAGTTTAACCAAAACAATATTAGGACCCAATTTTGACTGATTGTAGTAGTTGTTAATAATAATAGCAATAACAAGGCAGCTTGTATTTACTGAGCATTTATACTGTGTATGTGCCAAACGCTGGATCACCACTTTATGTGGATTAAGATGAGAAACTGAGGTTTAGATAAGTAACCATAGCTCAGGTTAATCAGTTAGTAATGGTAGAGCCAGGCAGTTACATTCTTAACCATTATGGTAGGTTGCGTTTTAGTTTGGGCTATAGCTTGAAGTCCATTGAGAGTAGTGGACTCAGTTTTTTAAATTTTTGTTATAGTGGCAAGGTCTTTTGGTTTTTAAATTTCTAAGCAAAATCCTCGTTACTTTTAAATTTTTTGTAGAGGAAACCCTTTACAAAATGAGTTCACATTAAAGTAGAGACTTTTTTCCTCAAATTCTTTTGCTATACTTATACTTCACTTTCCTGGAATGGGTGCCTATTCTTTCCTTTCCTATTTCTTTCCCTAAAAACACTCTCACAAACACAAATACACCTGTTTTACTAAGTGATAGGTTCTTATTACTCAAAAAATTTAGACTTTTTGACTGAATTCTTCCTTAAGTGTATGTTTCATTTTCCTGCAGAATACTAGCTTTATTGTCTCTTTTACTTTACCAAGCGTCTGGTTAAACCCTACTTGCAGCTCTTTTTCTTGATTTAAAATTATTGATAATGGTCTGAATGAGAATGATTGCTGATAGACTGGTGTGTTTAAGGTGTATTCTTAAGCTTATGAATCCTGTCCTAATTTTAGAAAGATATCTCTCCACCTGAGGGGTGCCTAGCTGGCTCAGTCAGTAGAGTATGCAACACTTGATCTTGGGGTTGTGAGTATGAGCCCTATGTTGGGTATAAAGATTACTTAAAAATAGTGTTAAAAAAAAAAGAAAGATACTTCTTCACTTTTTTTTTTTTCTAAGCTCTCCTTACTATTTTATAAATAATTTAAAATTCTAGGGGCGCCTGGGTGGCTCAGTTGGTTAAGGGTCTGCCTTTAGCTCAGGTCATGATCCCAGGGTCCTGGAATTGAGTGCCATGTCAGGCTCCCTGCTCAGTTGGGAGTCTGCTTCTCCCTCTACCCTCCCCCCCCCGCTCATGATCTCTCTCTCAAATAAATAAATAAAATCTTTTTAAAAAATTTAAAATTCTAGGCACATTTTGAATCTGAAATTCAAAAATTCAAAATTTACATTTTAAAGACTGAAATTTCTATTTCCTATATCAGGTCAGCTTTCTCATGAATTCTCTCATCTGTTAAGTATTCCAGCATATTGCTGTGACTCTTTGAGGTGAGGTCAGTGGATAGGAATATGGCAAAAATACAACTGGTCACTGATCTTTTTCTCCTTTAGCAAAATAGTTTTGCCATTCATACGCTTTTGTGATTCTTTTCACTGTAGATATAGAAGTAGTCTGTAGGAGAAAATTGCTTTGTTCATCTCATCATCCATGTTCATGCAAGCAACAAATATGTGTTGTCTATGAAAATTGTGATATATCCCAGTCACCAAAATTTTTGTCTTATGTAGGGGTTTCACCACAGTAGTATCTGTAAGAATATTTGATTTGTCACTTTCTCTATTTAAATCTAGGAGCATTGCTTGCTTAGGACTTAGTAAGCATCACAGAAATTAGAAATGGTTTCTTAACCCCAAAAAGGGCACCTGGATGGTACAGTCAGGTGTCTGACTCTTGGTTTCAGCTCAGGTCGTGATCTCAGAGTCGTGAGATCAAGCCCTGCATTGGGCTCTGCGCACAGTGAGGAGTCTGCTTGAGATTCTCTCTCCCTCTGCCCCTCCTGCTTGTGTTTTCTTTCTCTCTCTAAAATAAATATTTTTAAAAAATAAATAAATGATCCCCAAAAATGGTTGTTAATGCTGTTAATCAGAAAATATACATGATGTAGAAATGGTATTTGTTCATTAAAATACTTTTCAGCATTTAACATTTGGTTCCCTTTTTATCTTTTTTTTTGACCAAAACTAAAAAAAATTGAGTATTTTAAACTAAAAAAGATTGAGGTGCTGTTTATGTGTGATATGGTCTAGCCCTTTGTTTTTAATGGACAGATAATCTACAAATAAGGGAACCACTGGTCTGCCTTGAGCTTCGATGGCTGATATATGATAGTGAACCTCTGCTGCACTGCTTCATCAGCATTTTACTATTTATACCTTTTTGGGTTTTTTCTTTTATTTAGGGATAGCATTTTTAATAAATATAGTGTCTGATATGGTCCAGACTCTTATTTTTGAAGAATTTTATTAAGGAAAATTTGAACATACAAAACTGGGAAGGTCAGTGTCATGAGAGTTCGTTCATCACCAGTGTCAGTTATTACCAGTACTTGGCCATTCTTCCTTTTTCTGTTCACTGCTCTCCCTCTCGCTTTGTATTCGCTAGGATTTTTTTAATTTTTTTTTTTTTTTTTAGAGAGAGGAGGAGGTTGGGGGGAGGACTAGAGGGAGAGAGAGAATCCCAAGCAAGCTCCAAGACCAGTGTGGAACCTGATGTGGGGCTCAAGCCCATGACCCCGAGATCATGACCTGAGCTGAAATCAAGAGTCGGATGCTTAACCAACCAACTGAGTCACACAGGTACCCCTATTTGCTAGAATATTTTCAAGCAAATTTGAGATTTGAAAAAGGTCTACACATCATGTATCATTGATAATCTTACTCTAAGCTTTTTCTTCCCCATGTTGTTTATTTGATGAAGAAACCACATCATTTTCTGCAGAATTTCCTATGTGCTGGGTTTGGCTGAGTGCATGGTGGTATTTAACACGTTCCTCTAGCCCCATATTTCTGTAAACTGGTAGCTAGATATGGAGGCATGATTACATTTACATTCAGGTTTATTTATTTTGCAAGGATAGTTGTAAGTGGTATTCACCTCCTGCACATCAGAAAGCACATGATGTTTAGTTGACTCCCTTACAGTGGGGTTAATACAGTCATTGAAATTAGGTGTTTTCAGTCTGATCCTTCATTAGAAAACTCCCAACTTTTCATGTGTAGGTTTTAGGAGCCATTGATCATTGCCTAGAACCATTTTCTCATTAGAGGGTAGAAAATAGTGATTTTCTAATTCTGTCATTCATCCCTCTGTGTTTATTAGCAGGAGTTCTGGAGACACCGTGGTCATGGTTCTGAAATGGGGAGACACTGCTGGCAGGGAGAGGTGAAGACTGAATTAAGGTAGCATAGTTTGGAGAACTGATTCCACATTGCACAGGATTTAGTGACCGATCTAATCTAGGGAAAAGCAGAGTCAGAGATGACTAAGGTTACTCATTTGGGGACCCAGACAAATGACGGTATTACTGAGGGAACAGATACAGTTTTGAACACTTTAGATTTTAGTTACTGGTTTGTCATCCAAGTGAAGATGTCCAGTTTCTCATTGGAAATATTGGTCTGAGTTGAAAAGAAAGATTTGGGCTGGAAATGTAGATTGGATGATTTGTGGAGA